CATCCTCTACCCTGGAGGACCCAGCTACCGTAGGCCTCAACCTAGTTCCAACACTGGGTCAGCGCCATCTTGAAAGGTTAGAGGGGCTTGTCACTCTGGTCTTGGATATGAGCATTCCATGATGCTCAGAGGGATGGGTAGCCAGTATCACAAGGCTTTAAGATCCTTAGGTATGGACCCACAGGGCAGGGAAGGGAGGAGGAAACATCTCACACATCCATTTTCCCGGAGCCTATACTCTGCCATACCAGAAGATTGGTGCTTCCTTGGCACACAGAACCCTCTCTGGTCCTCCTGGAAAGACTGAAGGCATGGTCCACAGGCATGTGCCCCTGGTGGGCATTTTGCCCGCCTCTTCAGTGCACAATCCAGGCTTCCAGGACAGGTGGTAGCATCTGAGGAAGAAGCAGAGGCAGGGCCCATCACAGTCCACTTGACCTCCAGCCCCCACAACAGAGGCTCTACTTAGAAAGCCCTCCCTCCATAGAGCTGGCCAGGCGAGCTCTAGGCATGGTTCTGGGCAGGCCCTGATTTCCTATTGCCAAGTGTCAGATCAGGAAGCAAACAGTCCCAAGTCTTATGGGAACTATCCTGCCCCACCCATCCCCACAGTCCTGCTCCATGCCTAGGCCTTATGCTTAAAGGTTAAACCGACCCTAACTGTCCAGTCAGCTCTCCAGGGAAGGACTGCATAGTCTCCAAGGCTGGCTTTTGACCTTTGTATGGCTCAGAATGAGCCAGAAACTTTCATCCAGATCGCCACTGAGAACAGCTCTGTTCTCTCTTTGGCTCTGGAGCAGCAAGGATGCCGTGTAGACATTTCTCCTAAACATTGGGGCTCCTCCCTAGACCCCATCACATATAACCCTAGAGTTAGTCTGGCAGCCCACAGAACAAATGCTCAGTCCAGAAGACAGTGGCTGTCTCTGCCTAGCCTTTGTTTTCAGGGCACTGGGGTTTGGGAGACCTAAGATGGCACTGGCTTAGATACAATGAGGGCATTGAAAGCCCTGGGCTAATCGGTGTTGGGGATGCCAGTCTAGGTCATAGTTCTGAGTCACATTTTTGTTGCTTGGGGCCCAGAGCACAGTGTTCTCTTATATCTGCCAATCAGCCCCATCCTGACAGTTACATAGAGCAGTGAACTCTATGCGTCAGTTTCTCCTATGGGATGGATAAGTTCAGTTGCTGCAAAAAGAAGGAATAATCCCAACTTGAGACTCTGGTCCCTGTCTCGGAAGCCAGCAGAGCCGAGGGAATACGCAGCAGGACCACCAACTCTGCCTGTGTCTCTAGCCAACCAGATCCTTCCACGCTATACTGCAGGCAACACTGTAAGGCCCCCTGAGATGTGTTGACCATGTCCTTCCACAGACTTTGGCTTAGTTTCCTTTGTAATCTAATACTCTGTATTACTTTGTAATCTCCTGCAAAGAAGTTCCAGAAGCTCTGGTGGCAGGTGGCACACTAAATCCCAGACTAGGCACCTTCTATCCACCATAGACTGCCAGCAGCCTCCAGTAACAACAATCTGAGCCTGGGGCTTGGGAGAGTTAAACAGCATTGTGCCAGGAGGCTTACATGGACTCCACCCACCATCTGGACTCCAAGTCCCTGCTCCTGGTGCTGACAACCTATTCCGATCTATATGAGCCGTGCAGCACAATGCTGGCTTTGGTGGTCTCCCTAGGCCACCAGCCTATTGTTTGATTTTGGGTAGAAAGTCTCCCTCCAGCCTGGGTCCCAGGAACAATGGCAGCTGAAGAGTAACTGGTTTTCTACCCATGCTAGGCTACCAGCCCTTCCTGGGCACTAGGTGTGATAAGGGAAGGCTTAGCATGGGGCCATGCCAGGTCTCTGCATTCAGCTACAGAGGCCAATGAGCAGAGGCCAACATCTGCCCGAGGTTCAGTACTATGCCTTAGTCCCATCCCTGAGGAGGATCCACCAGGGAGGCAGCCTGTTTAACACCTCTGGCAAGGCCTGGTCTGGCCATCACCCTCCTCAAGAGTCTCTTCCAGTCAGGCCAACCTTCAGGCCAGTTCCTGAGTTGTTTGCCCAGGAAGAGGTCTGCCCAGCTCTTAAGGCCCCACATCCAGACCTATCTTGTTAGAGGCCCAGTTGTACCACATACCAGTCACCTCTCCGTGCCCTCAGTTTCTTTATCTGTAAGCTGGGCTTAAAGTAGTACCCATACATAGTTCCAGAAGAACTCAGTGAACATATGGGCACCCTCTCCCACTTCATCCCCCTCAGGGAGATACAATTTGGATCCTGTGGCTTCAGGACCCATCTGTCAAGAGTATTCTCCCAGTCAGGGGGGTCACACTCTTCTGAAAGGTCAATACACAGACCTCAGGCCAGAAGACTGGGTGGTGCATGCCCTCCAGGGCAGGGGATGGGGGCAGCTTGATCCCACTAAGTTGGAACAAGACTCTAGGCCTTAGACTTTGCCAGGGAAGCCCTACACACACACACACACACACACACACACACACACACACACACACACTTGAGTCAGGGCTGACAGGCAAGGCCTGCAGACACTAGGAACAACCCTGCCAACTGGAAGCCCCAGAGACACAGAAACAAAGAGACAGGCTCCCTTTGAAGGGCCACCAGGAACCAAATGGCTGCAGAGCCAGAAAGACACACACACACACCAGACTGACTCAAGGACTCACAAAGACCAAAAGCGCGTGAACATTCGCCTCCAAGGACCTGAGAGGAGATTCATCTAGTATGGCCTTCAATAGGCCTGACCTGTTTACCCAATCCATGCCCAGCGGACAGGGCCTGCCTGGCCTGTGGGCCTGGGTAAGGCCGGGCGGTGGCAAGGAAGACCAGGGCGGCGCCGGGTGGCAGGATTCCCCGCCTGGCAACCCCAACCCCGGAGCACCCCACAGCCTACGTTCAGAGCACTCGCTCACCCGGGCGGCGGGCGGTGGCACCATTCAGGGCCGCTCCCAGGATGAGGCCGGAGAGCAGCAGCCGCAGCAGCCGCAGGTGCCGCGGGGAAGGCGGAGGGACGGGCGTCGCCATGCTTCAGCGCCGCCACCCAGGCAGCATGGCACCCCACGGCCCCGGGCTCGGTACCCACTCCGAGAACCGCGACTGGAGAAGCCGGGAAGCGAGAGGGGCGGAGGAGGAAGAGGAAAAGAGGAGGAGGCGGCGCTGACGTTGCGGCAATGGATCCGGGATGGGATGGAGGCGCGGCGGCCAGGAAAAGTGTCGGGAATGCGCCTGCGCGCTCCACCTGCGGGGGCGGGACATCGCCTCTAGTCTTAGCCCCCTCCCTCTGCATCCTGTTGGGGGGTCCCCTTTCTTCAGGCGCCTGAGTGCCTCGAGCCCTCTAGCCTCTACAGCAGGATACCTACTCATTACCCAGAAATTTGGCTTGGGATTGACTAGCGGTGGGCGTCCCAGGATGCACGCCTTCTTCTTAGTGGTCCGCCTGCCAAACCCTCACCACCCACCCTGTTAGAACGGAGGACCTTAGACTAGGGGAACACCAGGGACAAATCCTGGCTATGTAGACTAGGCTGACTGTTGCAGGTTTGCAAAATGTATCCCACAAAGGATAAACAGGTGTATAGAGGAATCACAGGTGTACTCAGAGACGCCCCTGGGTTTTCTAAAGCCACGAAGAAAAGCAAACACAGCAGGCTCACAAGATCAAGTCAGGCTCGTTCCCGAATGATGCCACCAGGGGGCAAGAGTAACTTGACATTGTTGTTGACAGTCGTCTGGGAGCTGTCCAAGGTGGTCATCGTCCCAGGTAATGGCTTTCAGCTCCCTTAAGTTACAACATGGACTCATGGTGCCTCATGATCACCATTCACTTACAGTCCCCTGAGAGCACATTCCACCCCTGCCAGAGACCTCCCCCTAGTTGAGTCAAGAAGGTAATGTTGAAGCTCAGCATAGTGGTTCACGACTTTAATCCCATCACTCACTCAAGATGCAGAAGTAGGTAGATCTCTGTGAGTTTGAGACCAGCCTGGTTTACATATCAAGTTCCAGGACAGTCATGAATATATAGTGAAACCTTGTCTTAAAAATGAAAAACAGGCCGGGCGGTGGTGGCGCACGCCTTTAATCCCAGCACTTGGGAGGCAGAGACAGG